CTTGCGTAAAATTAATGAATTACGAGATCCGAACGAAACTTGATCTCATTGAACCTACTTTACAAGGAAAAGAAAATTTGAAATCGACAGTTGGAGAAGAAAATTTTAGGAAATTTAAAGGGGGCGACAGAGTTAGAGTTCGTAATTTTTCGGAGAAAAATACAAAATGGGAATATGGTCACATTGCAGAATAAAGGGGCTATTACATTATTTCATAAAACTGGATGAATATTCACTGGACCATACAAGAAGTTACAGATGAAAACATTCAAACCACTATAGTCCTACTCTATAAGAAGAATATGATGAAGACATTCAGAATACTAGCATTACTATACAAGAAGAATCTAACAATAAAAAAAAGGATGATGTTATTGAGGAAATGGAGACACAAGATCAGAATTCATCTATTCCACAAAACACCATGACTTTTAGAAGATCTAAACGCAAAATTCAGAAAATGAATTTATAATAAAGATTCACGAGGGACGACTGTCATGTCTTCAGCATCCGGTATTTTTATACCTTTACCTTTACCATATAACTGGTAAAGGTAGAGTTTTGTATTTTGTATAGTCAGTTTGTCATACCTAATTGTTAAAAATATAGAGTTGACTTGAAAAGTAAAGCATTATTACATACTTATTAACTATTGAAGGAGTTTGTCGAGGAGTTTGTGCTTAAAAGTTATTGTTCATTCATCGCTTCAACATGGTCAGTGTCCACAAACTAATCAGAGTCAAGATTGACATCAATTCAGAAAAAAAAATCCGCCAGGAGAAAGAAGTAGAGTGTATTCGGAAAACACAATTAATTGAAGGAACCATTGGAATACACTCGGACATTAGCGTTCTTCGATCAAGAGGTAGGTTGCTTATACACAAAATGCAACATGGTCACGGAGAAGTTGATGTCACCAAAACAGAAGTGATGTAAGATCACAGAGAAATTATAGAAACCTTTTGTCGAAAAATCTACCCACGAATCAAAAATCGAACCTGAATGCAAGGAAAAAAAAACAAGGAGATCACATGGGCTCTACTAAACAAATGTCGCGAAAAAGGAAGGATTCTAGACTCATATAGAACGCAGTATAGCCATCGTTATTTTTGAAGAAAATGATACCTCAAATATAGAGACTTACATGCTCTTGCAGCCTTCTACATCCGATTCGCTACATTGAAGAGGGTGCTACAAGTAAGTTTAAGGAAAATCGAATCGCTATGAGACCCAAAAGTCAAAGCGATTAAAACTTATTTAGGGTCGGGCAGGATAATTAGACAAAGGAGATGATGAGCCTCACCGAATCTCAACAGGAAAGTTTGCAAGGCAGGTATATATCCTCAGTGGCGACATATGAGTAATAATCACACCAAGATGGTCTATTTGGCTAGGACTATGATGATAATTATAAAAAATATTCCAGGGGATTCAATTTATATTAATAAATAAGATAATCATAATGTGGAATTTGACGAAAAACTTGATTTCCTGTACAAAGTGACAGCACGTGAGAAACCCTGAGATAAGAAGTGATGAAAGTAGCGGAGATTCAAATCAAGAAGACAGTAGAAAATATAGTGGAAATAAAGTCAATCCCAATTTTGACAGTCGGGCACCCGAAAATAAACGGCCTGGGAGCTTGAGACCATGATAAATTTATAGCATCAAGAGCCCAAAATTATCATGCCATTGAGTTGTAATGTCTGAGTGAACAAAACGGACAAGAATATATTGCTACATAAAGTTGTTAAAGACAAAACTTAAACAATAGGATTTTTGTCGATTAGAACGAGCATTCCAAATGAATTTTACTCTAACAACCATCCATAAAGTTTAAAAAAAGATCAATGACATTATTTACGACGTCGCCCTTTTCAGATCCTGGTTCCTCAAGAAGGAAATCGCCGACTTTTCCGCTTCCACGAGCGTCCGTCCGGCATTTCAAACCAGGCCATAATTTAAGGCGCGATCGATTTGCTAAATTACTTGGGCGAGAACAATGGCCATCACGACGACAATACCTACACACAGAGAAAAAGAAGCTGCGTATCACCGTGCCCGTCATTATGTTCGACATCCGATTGTATAGTCTCCCAAGGGACCGCGCGACCACACATCTCTGACCTCAGATTTGTGTGCATTTATCCATGGTTCCTTTTGCAGATTACGTCAGATGCCGCAAGATACCGAAAATGATTGATCGTCTTTTCAGTTGCGATACTGTATTGTTACGATTTTCTATTTTATCATTGTGAACATGTCCTTTTATCAAATTTAGGCTTGATGACTACAAAAAACACCCACGTCTTTTTGCCGTTTCTAGTTAGACACAATTATTTTTAAAAAACAAGTTAATTTGATTTTTCAGTATTCACCCGCCCAAAAACAAAATTATTGAGAATGTCTGGATGATTTTAGGCCAAGATGTTATACTCCCTCTCTCTGTTCCGCAATCGCGATAAGTAATCGCGCTTTCGTGAGGTCCTTTGTGCCCTTGGATCGCGTCCACATTTTAAACGTATGCTAATGCCCAAGCTGTGTCCCAAATGCTGACCGTGAGCTGAAATTTCAAAGATGGGGTGGCAAAAAAAAGAGGATTATGGGGAGCTTTTTATATGAGAATATAAAGAGATTTTGATTTGATAGTTATGCTTTCTTCGAGAGAGAATTTATGTTCTCATTGTCTTTATAGGTTAAGTATATTTCATAGAGTCATAGCGACATGCGTCATTTAAGCCTAGTCGCGCTACATGAAATATGGCCATATTGTGAATGAGAATGTCATTACGCTATCTGCACTCGTACTTAACAACTGTAGTAAAGTTCGGTTAATTCTGCTCGAGCAAAAATATGACAACTCCATGTGACCAGTTTTGTAACTTCAAATATATACTGTGTGACATAGAAATTGCAACACCCAGTAAATCTAAATATATTTTATTATTATTTTTGGGATTATAGGTTTTTTTATGTTATATTTAGAATGACGTCACCGAAAAAGGACAGACAATGTTGTCAATGCCTATTTTTTTTCTGATAATCTACCAGAATGTCATATGTCAATAATGCTGACGACACCTAAAAATAACGAATGAATATGTTTTTATAAGTCATGCAACTTTGCGCACCGTTGCCAACCAAAAACATCTGAAATTCCCCTATTTTAAATGCGTTAAAAAGTACTTTTAGTTTGGTTAGGTTGGCACCAGAAATTTACTAAATGTGACGTCATCATAAATATAGCGTAAAAATCCTATAGTTGGGATAAATATGAATAACAATCGACATTTTCAAACAAAAAAGAAATTCTTAACAATTCATTAATGAGTTACGCCTACACGTAAGTTTTGACATTCTTGCGAATCAGATAATCGATATCTGCCTGTGGTAGGTTCTCCCAGACTAATCTCACATCATGACGTAGACGCTGTACATCCAGTAGAAGATGTGGCAACTGCCTCAGCCCTTTAGCTAATCACATCCCAGACATGTTCAATAGGCGACAAGTCTGGTGACCTTGCGGGCCATGGAAGAAGGGTTCCATAAGCTTGTTGGAGGAAGTTTCTAGTAGCTGCAGCGGTATGTGATCTCTCATTGTCTTGTTGAAACATTGGATCTTACAGTTGCTGAAGATAGGGCAACGCGACAGGTTGTAATACGTTATTGAGGTAGGATTGAGTGTTCATGTTTCTTACCAAGAAAAAACTAGAGGTTATATGCTTGCAACTGCTATGGCAATCCAAGCCATAATGCCCCCAGTAAACGCAGTCTCACGCTCCATGCAAAATTAAAGTTGGTGCTTTTCTCCACGTCTGCGACGGACTCTTCTACGTTGCCCTACCTTCAGCAACTGCAAAATCCAATTTTTCAACAAGAAATGCGGGACCACATACTGCTGCAGTTACTAGAAACTTCCTCCAACAAGCTAATGTAACCCTTTCTTCCATAGCTCGCAAGATCACCAAACTTATCGCCTATTGAACATGTCTGGGATATGATAAATAGAAGGCTGAGGCAGTTGCCACATCTTCCACTGGATGTACAACGTCTATACGTCATGGAGTTAGATTAGCCTGGGAGAATCTGCCACAGGCAGATATCGATCATCTGATTTGCAACACGCCATGAAGAGTTACAGAATATCAAAACTTACGTGGAGGCGCAACTAACTATTGAATTGTTAAGAATTCCTTCCAATAAATTTGCTTCAAAAATGTCATCGATTGTTTTCATATTTATCCTAACTAATCCCAAAATATTAATAAAATATATTTACATTTACTGGGTCTGGGTGTCGCAATTTCTATGTTACACAGAGATTACGTGATCATCTGCCAACAATGTCATCTTTTAGCTCGCGGGGGATTCACCGAACTCGCCTTGTATCAGATGCATAGTACCTGGATCTACTCTAAAATTCGTCCATAGGGCATCGAAGTACCTACGTATGTGGAAAAAGTATCGACAAAAAAAAGAAAGTTTTGCGATTTGCAATTGACATAATCGCCAATGGGGATTAATTTTTCAAAGTTGCTACTATGGTAAGGCTTTTTGAGAATTTATTAATTTCGCCTCGAAAATACTACATTTGCATATGTATTACAATTTTTTAAAATATCTGATACTCTGGACATTTTAAAATAATGCCTTCTGCCACTGGTCCATCATCAAGATGGGATGGGGCCGCGGCCCATAAGCATCTGGGGCCTAGCGATTTTCGTTTTGCGAAGGCGCGTCACGTACAGCACACCCTGTGGACTGTGAATTTCCAACGCAAACGTCCGAGCAATATTTCATTTCCGATTTTTCACTGTATTATCCCGCCCGACGGAGCCCGATCCTAAAAACGGGGGCGTAATGGCCTGCCGACATCTGATAGCCAATGTGACCGCGAAAACGAGCCCCGTTATTGTGTGCCGGGAAAGGTGATCTCCATTTTAAATTATTAGATTTTTCATAGACAATAATATTTTGGAATAGCACAAAAATAAACTCACCACTGTGGGTAGTATTGCTTTCAGCATCAGCGACTTCAGTTCTGGATTTTTTATGATGCGAGTTGTCTTCAGGTGACGATGACGTGGTATCAATCCTTTCTTGTTTGATGATGGGTTTGTGATCTTCACCATCGTCGGTGCTTCCTGATGTTGTCAGTGGTGAACAAGCACGTCGTTTTGGGGTTGAAGATGCTGCACCGTCGACACAAAGGTCACTTGGTGCTGGTAACCTGGGGAGGACAATAGAGACATATCAAATATTTTGAATTATTTACATTGGTAATAAAATTAAGCAAATAACAAAAGCATATTTGCTTTAAAGTCATTGTTACTTCTGGGAATAGTTGAAAGCATATATTGTTTTTGTTTTTATTTGCGGCATATAAGATTACATCAATAGGGATTATATAAGAGACAAAAAGACGCAATTCTGTACAGCACTTTTTTGCCTATATTGAACCAGAAAGCCGATATAAGTATACAAGTTGGAACAATACAATGACGATTCATTAATTTATCAATTATTTAAATCGTGCTCCATCTACTTCTGAATAGTTATAGTACGACTGCGGTTCAAATTTCTGAATTGTTCAACTTCAATAATTGGATTTCGCAATTCTTTAATGTTTTGTGACTGTTTCTTATGAATTACTGATTTTAGATGATCTCACAGGAAAGTGTCGGGTGACTTTGAAGGCCAGTCTCCTTCGCCTATCCTGATATTAGGAAACCTATTATTATGAGGTGAGGTGTGAGGTAAAATCGCGCAACGCCCTCCTGAAAATGAATTAGTTCCTCAGGTATTATCGGATCTCTATGTTGGTCTACTTGATTTTCTAACCAAAACATCATTTTTTTTGGGATGGTCAGTAGCACAAATATTTTCAAATAGATTTGAGGTCCTGTTGACAGGTTTATCATCGCTTCACGAAACTGCATTTCTCGATCCGGGTCGCATTTAGCATGCATTTAGCCATTCCACTATAGATTTTGGCACCCGCTTCAATTTTGAATGATCGATTTTGAGTAAAACTATGGAAGGTGCGGAATTACGTAGTAGATTGTTAGAACGGTGTCCAAAACGAGAGTTCAATGTCATATGCTTCAGTTAATTTATTTCAAGCTACCCCTCATACTATATGCCAATACGTGGTGCTCATAGTAATAGTGGATTGTGCGAACGGTGCTGAATCGCGAAGTGGAATGAAGAATTGATTGGAGGTTATGTTATGTTGATTTGCTTATCGCATTGTGCAGTTTTGTTGCGTTCTACCTAATAATATCCATGATAAAATAGAAAAATTAATAATTTTCTTTATGGAGGAAGATTCAATAGTGCGAACGAAGTAATTGAATGGCTACTAATTTACGAGGCGCTTGAAAACTGCGTTGAAAAATAGCATTAGATTCATATTCAGATGGTCCAGACAACAATCATATTAAAGTTCAGCCTACATCGATAAGTAGAAGAAAAGTGGGAAGAACAAGAGGTTGTAAGAGGCTTGCAACTGGTAGACCTGCCAAAGGAGCGAACAAATCTAAAAAAAGGAAGCACTGTTGTTGCTTTCAATTGACTCACCTCAACAACGGAAAAGTTACATATTTGAAAAACTTCTACATTCCAGTAATTAGCACCATGCGTAGCGCAAAAATAATCATACGGAATTGCACTCTCGTTTTGGGCACCGTCCTGACATTTTTCTACGTGATTCAGCTCAGCACTTCTGTAGTTTCACTTATGCATAATGAGTAAGTATGCACATTCCACTTATGATTGTAGCTTTGTTCACACATTCCACCATGCGTTTCGGCATCATATCAAAATATTATTTAAATCAGCCAATCGCCTTAAAGACGGGTGCCGAATCGTATAGTGGAATGTCATGCATGACTTCACCGACGTGTTTGCTATATCAATCGACATTCAGAAAAGACATTTCAAGAAAATTATAGCACATTTGATTCGAGAATAAAGCAAGTTATCCAATTTGTGACTTCACCGGCGTGATTGGAACTTCAAGCAAAGACCAGGAAAAATATTTGAAGAAAGTTTGAGGGAAATTTTGGAACATTCTGTATATATCTATTACGAGACAACAAGCAAAAATAGAAGAACAATAAATTGAAGAACTTTTGCGCAACATGTTGGAATTTCGAGAGACCAAACGACAACAAGAAGAAGCTGAAAGACAGCAAGAAAAACAAGAAGGAGAAAGATGGAAGTTTTAGATTTTGTGTGGACTACCGTAAGCTTAATGACGTCACCAAGAAAGACAGCTTCCCTCTCCCAAGGATAGACGATACATTAACAACTCCATCGAGCTCCAAATGTTTTTCCACCTTGGATCTTAAGAGTGGAAACTGGCAAGTGGCAATACACAAAGATGACAAACAGAAAACTACCTACAGAACTGGAAGCGGGTATACCAGTTTAACGTGATGCCTTTCGGATTGTGTAATGCTCCAGCTACGTTTGAGCGACTGATACATCTTGTGTTGCGAGGCCTTACATGGAGAACTTGCCTGGTATGTTGATGTCATGATCATGGAGAATTCATTCAAAGAACATCTCAATAACCTTAAAGAAGTTTTTGATCGCTTCCGAATGCTATCCAAATAAGTGTTTTCTATTTCACAAGAAACTGGAATTCTTAGGTCACGTGGATCTGAAGATGGCATACATAGGAAAATTTGTAAAAGTTGTAAAAAGTAAAGTTGTTTGAGTTCATTAGTGAAGTAATTAGTGTCAGAGTGTGTAGTAACGTGGAATAAATTATTGTTGTGTTGATTTTGGAACAAACGAACTCAAGATTTTTGTCTCGCACCCCAGAGCCGTGACCTTACATTAGAATTGATACCTCCTAGGTCTAATAACGCTTGATATTTTATATTGAGATTATCTTACCTTGGACTAGCTGGTGGAGGTGTATGCACCCTACTTCCTCCAGTATTCTTCTTACTACTAATAGGAGCCGATATACTGGGTCTCCTAGTATTAATTGTGCCTAAAGGTAACGATCCATCGTCATTGTCCCTTTCCCTATCTGGATTTACGTAGCACTGACCGAAATTCTCCTTGTTGCAAGTTTGAATTTTGTGCTGGATAAATCGGACAATGTCTGAAAGGGCAAAGGGTTTTTGACAGACACCACACGTGAGTATGTCTTGGTGCGGATCCGATAGGTCTTGTCCATCTGCGTCTGCTGTAACAAAAAAAGAAAATTAATTCTCGAGGTTTAACAAGCCACAAAAAAGCTAAAGTATCTAAGGACCATTTGCACAATTAACATTTGGATATCCATTAAGTATTCAGAGCCCTCAGCTCTTAAAATTAGAGTCCTTCTGATAAAAAAAAACCTCTATACCGATATTGATTACACCCATAACAGCTGCAAGAATACTATTTGAATATCCGCCCCCCCTATAACGCTTTCGGGTGTCGTAATGACACTCCAGTTTATTGCAGCCCGAAACCCTTCACCCCCTAATAAGGACCCCTGTTGGGATTAGCAATCACCGGATTTTTCATTCTTCATGTTTTTAATTGTCTCGGGTACTTGTGGACAAATGTTCACAATGGTAGCTAACTCAGTGGACATCATGTAGAGACAATAATTTGAAGTTTATGAAATTTGAGAAATGTAGGGTTTATTTTTTAAACATGTTAACGAATTTTCATTGCTATTATGAAACTTAATATTATAAGAACCCTTTCTCCGGATTAGTTGGGGTTATAATAAAGAAGCCTATCAAAACATTCGTATTTTTCAACAATGTTTGATTGATTTTTGATGGCATCGTCAATGGCACCAAAATAACAAAATCCTCTCTCAGCAAAAAAGGGTCAAACCTTGGAGGAAAACATATGTGGTTCGAAAGCCTTTATACATCTTAGTATAAATACATTGAAAATTTTTCGAAATTTTATTTTCGAACCCATTGAAAAATGACCCTACAAACATCAACCCATACTTATTATGTTCGGTCGATCTAACAGAAGTTCAGCTCGAACCCTTTGACCGCCATTTCTATATAACAAAAATAACGTCCAGGTGCGGAGCTGGTCCACATCACGATCTGGACCGCAGGGACAAAAGGGCCAAAACAACGGATTCGTATTGTCTCGAACCTGTATAGGCGGTCTAAAGCATTGAAATAAAGTCGTAATTAAAAACAAAAATAAAAACTTATGTATGGACGTTTGTAATGGGCAAACCAGTTGTTTGGAATAAAGTCTTTAGATAATTTTTTATTTGCTTTTCGATCACTATAGCATTTCAGTTGACCCTTGAAAAGCAATTAAATTAATTTTATCTATAGAACAGTTCAATATTGCCAATCAGTCACTCCAATACTATAGTAATAAAAATCCAATAAGAATATATTACAATACATATACGGACCAGAAAATAGCCAATTTTCTTTGGGTCCCCAAAAACAGTTTTGTGATTTCCACTGTCTATCTATCTATACATCGGAAGGAATTGACAAATTGACTCCGATATCAGATATTCATGTCTTATCGCCCCTTTTCACTTTATTTTCCTTTCCACGTTTTGACCCTATCTGGCCAGGGAAGGGCTGACCAATAGAAATATTTACACACGTAAGGGTTGGACGCGCATCGGTTGTGGTCAGTGCAGGGAGTGGTCAAGCAACCCCCGTTATGTCCGGTTGGACCGAAAAAAAATACCCTTACAACAACTTTATATGTACCTACACCTATAGGTAAAGGATTATGTACTTTGGGAAATAGTGGTTGTAAAAATTTGAGTGATTTGATGTATTTTTTTTTTGCTGTTTCCTTATTATTATGTGACTGAAGGAATACTGCACCCTATAAACTGAGGTTTTCTATAACTATAGGTACATATTTATTTCAAATTTTCAATAAATTGAGTTTATTCAGTTGGAAAGTCGGCAACTGATTCAATGCAGCTCCAGATAGTTCCCCTTAAATCCAACAACTAGGGTTAGTTAGGTTGGTTTTAGAAGGGTTTTAGTGTAGGTACAACTAGGTAGGGTAGGTACCGATTAAACAAATTTCGAATTAATAATGTGTGTAAATGAAATCTATATAACTCTATATAAAAAGTATAGGCATTGAAGTATGTTGGGGGAAAGGGGAGGCACATTTTACAATTTACAAAATAAATTTGAAACCCTTGCGAAACATAAATTACTATTGCTCAACATTTTTTTTTATTTTTTTTTTTTCAAAACAATCATCGATATTTCTGAGTCAAAAGTTTAATAATCACTTAGAGCCTAAAGTTCCTTGGACAATTTCCAGAATTAAAATAAACCTTTATGTTGTTTTTATGATTTATCCGATATACGCACCTCCTTTGGAAATTTCTATTTCCAACTATACTAATTCACTAGCCACATTCCAATATAAACCATACAAAAAGCTATAAAGCCCCTACAATACGTCCAAAAAATTAATTATGCTAATGAGACCGTTCCGCTAATCTTCAAAAAGTCTGCCTCGGCATAAGTCAACAACATCGGAAAAGTAGAGGAGTGAACAATATAGTGTATTCGTAAAAGGGGGAGGATGAAAAACCGCTATTTATCGACAAAACTGCCCTGTTTGTTCCCTGACGAGTTTTATCGCCCGCACATTTTCGTTGCGGTCTAGGGGAAGAGAGAGGGCAACTTTTATCTTAACTTAATTTCGTATTTGTCATTGAATTAAGGTTGCGCCTTGTGTGACAAGCTCGAATCCCGGAGCGACCAAAAAATAAGATTATTTTGACACTGACCACCTCGAGGCAACGACAAAAAACAAAAGGAAATCTTGTTAGGTTTATTCCCCACAGGATACCTCTATAACCAGGACCAGACCGATATCCGGACAGGAATAAGATAAATTGCGTTTAGTAACGATTCAATATTATGTTTTTCTTTTCAATCCTAACACGTATCGTTGAGTTTAACTTGAGTTTTTAAAATAATTTATCAAAATATTTTTACATTACTTTTCTATTTATATTGTCATTTATCTCCCAATAGATATTTTTCTTTACGCCCCTCGATAAAATTAAAACAATTGCCAAGCCATTAGATCCAGATCTCATTGATTGGAATGGGCCACAGTTGCTGATTAAAAAGAGTGTGAGATACTCGGTAATGTCCAGATTTGCGGAAAATTACGACCCGTTCCTGGAACCGGGGAAAGGATGCTTCAAATTATTTTATTGGTCCTCCTCAAAGATAAATGAAGACCGGGTCATGACGTTTATTGCTCACGATCCCGGGTAGTTTAGTAAAGTCTATCAGTCAACCTTATATGTTATTTACGTTATACCGAAAATAAATTTAAAACACTTACATTTAATAAATTTTTCACCAAACTTCAATTTCCCCATTATAAAAAACACTTATATCACAAAAAATAAATTACTAAAGTCAAAAATAAAAGGTTCACTATCATAGATCTATATCATCCCAGCACATAAAAGATACTGAAGAACGAAGATCACCACCAGGTAAAAGTCCACGCACCTAGGGCGAGATTTTTAAGGGTGGGGGCACAGAACTACCCTCAGCCTCGCGCTGGACCTAAAGGGCCCCGGATGACAATACGGTTTGGTAACTTCGCAAAATTAATGGTAATTTCCCATTATTCCGGAAGGTATTGAAAGAGGGGTTCGAAAAAATTTTGCACCTATGTGTTGAACTACGATTTTTGCGAGGATAAAAAAAAAAGAGTGCCCACGATGGATATATCAATATAAAATCCATGTATAATGACGGGGATAGTACTAGAAGTTTCACAGGTGAAGAAAAGAGGAGGACCTGGACGAAGGCAATTGATTAAACTAATAGGCAGATAGAAATAAAACATATGGGGGTGTAGGGTTTTTAGTTAAAGCCTTTCTTAGACAAAACTGTGTAAGTATGTCTTAATTGAACTCAATAAGATTTAAGTCCAAGTGAACATTTTCCAGGTTTATACATCATCACCTTTGTCCAACAGAGAGGATATCAGAACATTTTACGACGACCTGATAATTGCTATAAATATCTGACGAAACAACAGAACCAACTATCAAAATGGGCAAAACCAACTTTAATAGAAAATTATCGTAGAAAAAGACATATTGAATATTGGAAGCAAGAAAATCAATACCCCAAGTATCACATACCTACATGTCAATGCAGCTACGTATTAACCAAATACAACGTCGCCAGAAATGCAGATACAGTGCAGATACGTGACCGTCAATGATTTTTCGTTAAAATTACGTCGGGTCGTCGTCCTTAACATGTGGTCAAGAAATCGAACCATTATCTAGCTTATTTTTGTCGTAATAGATGGGAAACAGTTATAACGTTAAATTGATGACGTTAATCCGTCGTCCTCTTATATACTTGTGCCCTCTGAAACGTTTTTTAAACGTCGTCTGATACGACCAATCATAAGGTAAAAGATAAAAATCGTAAATTGAACGTTATAATATTATACAAAATTCAATGTTTCATTTAAGACGTTAATCCGTCGTTATCTTTATATCCTGTGACATATGAAACGTTGTCCAAACGTCGTCTGACACGACCTATCATTTTTATTTTCATTTATTTATCTACAAGCGTTTGGTTATGACGTTTTTACATAATTAACCAGTATTTGAGCGTGTCATGAGCCTCATAACACAACTAGTAGTGTTATGGACTAGGTTATCAATCTACTACTACTATTTTTGGTTATTTGACAAATGTCAAAGTTGAACCTGTAAAGGTAAACAACTAATAATAAAAAAAAAATAACTGAAAAAACATTCTTATTTTTCGCTTTGTAGATAAAACGTTGTACATCACACGTGCGTTTAAATATGACTACAAAACTCGGGTGATTAGAACGACTCGGTCTACGACCTCGTCGTTCTAATCTTTCACACTCGTTATTGTAATCATGTTCATAAACGCACTTGTAATGTAAATAACTATTATTTAATTCTCTATCTACAAGCGTTTGGTTATGACGTTTTTACATAACCAGTTGGTGTTATGGATTAGGTAATGAATCTTTAACACAACTAGTGGTGTTATGAACTAGGTTATGAGTCTTTACCACAACTAGTGATGTTATGAACTAGATCATGAATCTGTAACACAACTAGTATTTGTGTTCTAACAAATGTCATAGTTAAACCTGTAAAGTTAAAATGAAAGTAGAGACAACTACTGATGAACG